TTTATTTTATTTTATTTATTTATTTTTTTTGGTACCTGGGATCGAACTCGGGTCCTTGCCCTTGTGCAGAGGGTGCCGGAACCACTGAGCTAAATCCCTGGCCCCTCATTTATTTATTTATAAGAGAAAGCATATATTTAATTTTCTGAGTCTGGTTTATTTCCCTTAGCATGATAGTCTCAAGTTCCATCCATTTTTGTACAAATGATATGATTTCACTCTTCTTTGTAGCTGAATAATATCCTGTTGCATATATAAACAATATTTTCTTTATTCATTCATCTGAGGATGGGCATCTAAGTCTATTTCCAGAGTTAGCTATTGTGAATTGTGCTGTTATAAACATAGATATGTATGTATCACTATAGTATGATGTCTTTAATTTGGGGGAGCAATATACCCAGGAGAGGTATAACTAGGTCAAATAGAACTTTTGTTTTTAGTTTTTGAGGAATCTAGACACTGATTTCCATAGTGGTTGTACTAGTTTGCATTCCCACCAATAATATAGGAACATTCCTTTTACCTAACCAGAATTTATTGTTTTCTGTGTTCTTGATGATGCCATTCTGACTGGGACAAGATGAAATCTCAAAGTTGTTTTGATTTGCATTTTCCTAATAGCTAAAGATGATGAACATTTTTTATATGCTTAGTGGCCATTTGTATTTCTTTTGAGAAGTGTCTATTCAGTTCGTTTGCCCATTTTTTGATTGAGCCTTTTGTTTTTGGAGGGTTAATTTTTTTGAGTTCTTTGTATTTTCTAGATATTAGTCTTCTTTCAGAACAGTAGCTAGGAATAATTTCCTCCCATTCCACAGATTGCCTTTTCATTGTGTTGATTGTTGCTTTGCTGAGCAGAAGCTTTTTAATTTGATGTAATCCCATTCCATGATCCTTGATATCATTTCCTGTGCTATTGGAGTTCTATTCAGGAAGTCTTTGCCTGTGCCTGTGGCTCAAGTGTTTCCTCCATGCTATTTTCCAACAGTTTCAATGTTTCCGTTTTAATATCTAGGTCTTTCATCCATTTTGATCTGATTTTAGAACAGATGAGATAGAGACTTAATTCAGTCTTCTGCAAGTGGATAGTCAATATTCCCAGCAGCATTTGTAGAACAAGTTATCTTTTCTCCAACATAAGTTTTTGGCCTCTGTCAAAAATCAGATGGCTGTAGGTTCATGTGGTTGTTTATTTTTTTTAGTCTTCTATTCTATTGGTCTAAATGTTTGTTTTGGTCGATGTGCCAGTACCATGTTGTTTTTCTTACTGTAGTTTTGTAGTATAACTTGAAATGAGGTGTTGTGATACATCCAGCTTTGCTCTTTTTGCTCAGTGTGGCTTTGGCTATTCTAGGTCTTCTCTGATTTCTTATGTATTTTAAGATTGTTTTTTCTAGTTCTAAGAAGAATGTTTTTGGTATTTTAATAGATATTCCATTAAATCTATAGATTGCTATTGATAACATGGACATTATAACAATATTAATTCTTCCAGTCCAAGAACAAGGGATGTCATTTCATTTTCTAATGTCCTCTTCAATTTCTTTTTTCAGAGTGCTGTAATTTTCAGCATAGGAGTTTTTACCTCCTTGATTAGGTGGATTCTTAGGTATTTCATTTTTTAAGCTATTGTATATGGAATTGTTTACCTGATTTCTTTCTTGGTGAATTTATTATTGGTGTACAGAAATGCTATTAAAAAAAAAAGAAATGCTATTGATTTTTGTATGTTGATTTTGTGTCCCACTCTTCCTTGCTTTTTTTTTTTCCGGGGATCAAACTCGGGACCTTGCACTTGTGAGGCAGGAGGCGGCACCACTGAGCTAAATCCCTAGCCCTCTTCCTTGCTTTTTGATCTTGAACAAGATAACCTAACTCTGTATTTTTCTTATCAGCAAAATAAGGGTATAAAACCAATCTCATGTGTTGGTTGTAAGGATTAATTTAGTGAAAATACGTCACAGCAACATGTTCAACAAAATGTTTGACACAGAAGACATAGATGCTTTTTATTTATTTATTTTTTGGTACCAGGGATCGAACTCGGGACCTTGTGCTTTTGAGGCAGGCACCGGAACCACTGAGCTAAATCCCCAGCCCTATAGATGCTTTTGAAATGAATAAGACCAAACTTCCCGCAGAAAGTTGAAGTGAGAAATATATGTTTGAAGAGTAACAAGATTGTGAAGTTGTTTTATAAGCAGAGTTGGTTCATCTGGTAGAATGCTTTGAATTCAAGGCTGAATCACTTGGGTTTAAAGCATCTGCCAGTAAAGGAGTGTGGGATGGCAGCCTGCATACTGTCCTGACAATTATGGAAGGATTGAGGGGTGAACAGATCCATGAGGGGCTGGGAACCTCAAAGCTTCTTGGAATGTTTAGGCATAAGGAGATAAACCACAAGAAAATGGAGTTACCATCAAAAGAGAAAGAGATAACAATGAGATCAGAGATGAAGGTGAAGTACGGCAGTGATGTGCACAAAGGCTCAGAACTACCACCTTAGGCTAAGCCACCAATTCTTACCTAGACTCCACAAGAACCTCTGAATTAGAAATACTTTCAGTGACAAGTATTAATGGCTTAAATAACTATTAGTGGCTTAAATAACAAAGGTATTTAGTTGATTCTAGGTCAAGAAGTCTGGACAAGGAGGTTCCAGAATTTTTCAAGTGGTTCTGTATCTCTACCACTTTCTCCAGTTTTTCCTCATTAATCACAAAATGACTGCCAGGTATCATTAGTTCAAAGGCAGAAAGCAAGAGCACATGGCAATGGAGGAAAGTCAGCACCAGACATCTCTGGTCTTAATCTGTTCCATTTCCAGAAGTTTCCTGTATACTTATTTTATAGTTCAGAGGTCAGATCTAGGTCACATGGCCATATCTAGGTGCAAAAGAGGTTGGAAAAGTAAAATCTAGACTTCCAGATAGTATATTGAGAGGAGTGAAGAGGCTGGGGGTAACTTAGCCAATCAATAGAGTCTTCCACAGCTTCCCAACTAGTTCCTTGTGACCAGACTTGTCCTCCTAGAGTATTCTTTTAAAAATGTACTCTGACCTTCTTAACACTATTTGTTATTTTATTTGTTGTTTTGTTTTCTCTCCCACTGGGATGTGCATGCTAAGAAGGGGTATCACACCTTCTTGTTCACTCTTTTATGATCCTGTCTTAGTGCCATGTCTGGCACATAAGAAATGCTCAATAAATGTTTCTCTTTTTTTTGGTACCTCTCCATAAATGGGGTCCAACTCTCAATAAATGTCTCTTGAATGAATGAATGAGCACATCATTAAACACTGGCTTTTAGACAATAAGAGGAGAAATAAATGGTGAAAGGGACAGAGAAAATGAGAGGGAGGAAAAAGATCAAAGTAGCATGGTATCTTGCAGATCTAAGGAAGAAAGGGGTTTGGAAGGAGAGGGGAGGATTCAGCAATGTCAGATACCATTAAAAAATCCAAGATAAGAAAGAATTGAAGACACTTGTGCACTTGCATAAGAGGAGACCTGTGGTGACTTAGGTGCATATTCTACCTCTTGCCCAAAGAGCATCAAAATCAAAGAGGGGACATAAGCAAATGGTTTGCTTTCCTTCTTAGCTGCAAGGGACACTACATAGTATCTTTTCCATGTTTCAGTTTTCAAATTGTGAAACAGCAAGTGGAATATCTCAAAACCTCCTCCCTACCTTGACAGGATACCATGAATATCAAATATCAAATATAAAGTAATTTAGGCACCAAGATGATTTTTTAAAAGACTATCTTAATAATAATCCAACAGACAGATGTATAATCGGAAAAGGACCCAAAACAAGCATGTTCATTCATCACCATGGGAATAACCAATCTCTTCCTATCATTCAATAATCTTTACCATGCCCTAAATCTACTCTGCCTAATATAACTTTGATACATAATCATTAGTACTAGTCTAAAAGCCACACAAACTAGTTTTTGGTGAGGAATCTTTGAGAGTAATTGGCCCATAAACTTTTGTCTTTTTCATGTGATGTGATGTGATTCAAGCCATTACTAGTGGGAGCAGAGACAATTCTGAGTCATAGCCTCTGATTCATATTAGAATAAAACTCGGTGACATTTAGGAAAAAGCATCTGAGGGAACTCAGAAACTTCCTGACAGCAGTCCTTCCAGAGTTATTCTCAAAGCACATATTCATGTGACTTGTGTTTCCACTATGTGTTCATGAACTCTAAAATGTTATTCATGTAGCTTTTAGAAATAGGAACAATAAATGCCTTACCTCTAGACCTTCTTTGGACTATGATTTATTTGGACATCATAAAAATTTTTTCTTGGGAATGGTCCTATAGAAAGATAATAGGTAGATCAGAGGTTAGGGAGCCAAAATTTTATCTCTATCACTAACTGTGAGATCTAAGAACTCCAGTAGGTCTCCAGAAAAGTAAAGGTTAACCTACATGTTCTCTTATTTAATTATATTTAATAAATTTTCTTGGAATGCTAAAGAAGGCAACAGAAAAGGACTGTCTGTAGTTTGGATCTTTAATTATATTTAAAAATTAATAAAAGAAGGCTGAGGATATAACTCAGTGGTAGAGTGCTTCTCTAACAAAAGGCCCTGGGTTTGATCCCCAGCATTACAAAAATAAAATAAAATAAGAGCATTAAGGAGACTCAATTACAGCATAAAATAATTTTCTGGAAATAAAACTATGATTTTTTAATTTTAAAATTTAGTAGTCAATCTCTTGAAGAAGATGGTTACTGTGGATGTGTAAATTAAGAGATAGAAAAGAACAGATTAGGGAGAGGAGACATTCTTATAATGGTATGTAATGACCACCAAAGAAGAAAGAAACAGATCTATGCATGCTGAAGTGGAAAGATGAAGTAGAAGATGAAAAAATGCAAGTTGCAAAAAAAGTGTTATAATCACATTTGTAAAGCTTTTCAAAGGATATGCACATATAATGGTGAATATTGCTGACAGGAAATTTTAACCTGTTTACCTCTGGGTAGGTAGAACTGAGAAGGAAGTCAAAATAGAAATTTGGTTTTTTCCTTATATATGTTTGTCTTTTGTACAGTTTTGATTTTCTTCTAAGAACATATATTACTTTTACAATTAAAAATCAGTTAATAAAAAATATATCTACTGCAGGGCTGGGGATTTAGCTCAGTGGCACCACGCCTGCCTCGCAAGAGCAAGGTCATGAGTTTGGTCCCCTGTACCAAAAAAAAAAATATATATATATATATACACACCATGTAATTCAGCTATACCACTCCTGGGTGTATAATTGAAGGAGGAAATGTAGTCAGTATTCAAATAGATATCTGTACACCCATGTTTATTGTAGTGCTATTCACAATAAGCAAAATATGGAATCAGGCTAGGTTCTTCTCAACAGATAAATGGATTTTTTTAATGGTCTATACACCCAATGGAGTATTTTGCCATAAAGAAAAGTAAGACCATGTCATTTACAGAAAAAAGGAGGTTATCATATTAAGCAAAATAAACCAGACCAGGAAAGACTAGTATGGCATATTTTTATTGTATGTAGAAACTAGAAGGAGGGGCAAGAGGAGGAGAAGAAAGAGCAGAAGGAGGAGGAGGAGGAAGAGGAGGAGGAGGAGAAAACAAATTACCTGAAAATAGAAGACAATTAGGGAAACACAAGGGGAAGAGGAAAAGAGAGAAAAGGGAGGATGAGAGAAGGTAGCAGAGAGGGTGGATAGGTCAAAGCATGTTATGTGCACATGTGCATGTATGGAAATATTATAGTGAAAGCCAATAATTTATACAATTAATTAGATTTTTTTGCAGTGCTGGGGACCAAACCCAAGGCCTCAAGCATTCTAAACAAGTTTTCTTTTGAGTCATATCCCTAACCCTCAGTTAATTTTTCAACATGTAATACATATACATGTGCTAAAATATGTGAATACACATACAGAAAATTGTTTACATTAAAAATATCTAATGGACCGGACTTGGTGGGGCACGCCTGCAATCCCAAGACTCAGGAGGCTGAGGCTGGAGGATCACCATGATTTTGAGACCAGCCTAGGCTACACAGTTAGTTCAATGCCAGCCTGAACTACACAGCGAGACCCTGTCTCAAAAAAAAAAAAATCTAATGGGAACTGGAGATGTAGGTCGGTGGTAAAGTGGTTTTCCTAGTCATTCATGGGCCCTGAGTTCAATCCTCCCCAGCACACACACACAAAAAAATCAGATGGTATGAAACATTAAAATACTAACTACAAAAATATCATATTACTACATGGCATCTTTGTTCAATAATTTGCATTTAACTGCCAAACAACTTTACCTTAGCATTTTGGGATACTTTTTGCACCTTCTGTAAGTAATTACTCAACACTAATTATTTCTTTCCCAGATAATGTGTGGCTCCATTGGGAAGCCTGAGTGCAGGGTACAGACCACACTGGATACAATCCCTATCTTCTGAAATCTCCAATATTCTGCAAAGCATTTGAGAAACATTTAAACTGTAATATCTAAAAATGAGAAAATCAATTTAATGTGCTATGTGTAAAGTAGAGCATTTTGAAAATCTATTGCTGAGCAGTTTCATCAAGTCTATTGATGTAAATCAAATCTTTGAGTAATAAGGATAACTACAATATCTTCCTGGGTCTCTTATAAGCTCATTTTAATTAAAAGGTAAGCATCTGTTAATGTGGCAATGTTACCCACATATTTAAGAATTTAATTTCTTAGTGTCTTGCTATTATAAACGATTTGCCACAGCTCTCTTTTACAAGTCTGTTAGATTGTACAAATCTTGCTCATGCCTCTCTCCAATGGGACACTAATCTTCTGTGATGAGAGGTAAATGTCATTAATACTAGAAAAAAATCTTCTGAGCACAGAAATGGAAGAATTCTATAATGGCATATTAAGCATGACACTCAGAATAGAGATAAATCTTTAGAATATTAGGTTCTGTCATTTAATTGGTTTCTAGGAGTCTTTTCATGACATCGCAAAGACAGAGCAAGTGTATAAACTTCCTTTTTTCTCTTCACTATGCACCTGCTTTGTGTATAGCGAAGAGAATGATCAAATCAAATCTAATATCTTCTCTTATTTGCTATTATTACATGCCTACAGAAATCACCTGACCACTCAAAAGCCTTTCTGAGGGCTGGGGATTTAGCTCAGTGGCACCATGCCTGCCTCGCAAGTGCAAGGTCCTGGGTTTGATCCCCAGTACAAAACAAAACTTTCTGAATGAAAACTGCTCCCCAAAATAAGGACCAGGGTGGCTGTGATAATCAATGATTTCAAGGGCAGGCTTGCTGGGTTGGTATCATAGAACCTGGGTTTAAATTCCAAGTTTTTTATTTTCTGCTACTGGGAGATTTATTTTATTTTATTTATTTATTTATTTATTTATTTATTTATTTATTTGCTATCAAGGATCAAACTCGTGTCCTTGTGCTTGCGCAGCAGGCGGTGAAACCACTGAGCTAAATCCCTGGCCCTGGGAAATTTTTTTAAAACCAGAGATTTTTCTGAGTATCATTTTCCTTGTTTGCCAAAGAGAAATGATGATTCTTCTCTCCCATCAAAAGCATTGAATAATTATTTATTGATTATACATCAAGTTAGAAGGAGTAAATGAAACCATACTTGCAAACATCCAGTAGGGTACACAAACTTGGGTGCTGGTGCCATTGCTGACAACAGAGTAAACAGACTATAGTGATTAGAGTTTCCAATTCTAGCACCAAGTTGCCTGACTTGAAATTCTAGCTCCATACCTAACTTAAACTTCCTCCACCATTGAAGTGGAAATAATGTTTCTTATTTCATAAAATGTGGGGAGGATTAAATGAAATAGTGCAGGTAACTATTTAGTGCAGTATCTGCTGTGTGGTAAAGTAGTCAATAAATGCTAATTTTAATAACTAAATTACATCAGCTTTAAAGAGAGATATTGAGAATGACTCAAATCCCAGCACAGATTAGACCTTCCCTTATGAAATCTGGTATCACTGTCCCGATATAATCACCCCGAGAACCCCTCTGGTTCCTGTTGTTATATATATTTAACAGAAACACAAAATTAAAATCGGCCATGATTGTCCAAAAACCCTCAACTCCCTACATGGTATAGGAGACACTCTATTCTAACCCTTTACAAAGATAGTCAAATCTACTGCAGAGAGAAATATTCAAATGCTGAGCCTTGGCCTGCTCTGAGTAATATCCTGCCTTCACTCAACCTCTAGAGAAAGTACTTTTTTAGAACAGTGACAGAAAATATAGTGCAAATTGGCTGCAATTTAAAAAAATGTTTAAGAGTAATGGATTATTTTAGTTTCTTATAGAAATTCAAAAAATCATAAAATAATTCCCAGAAAAAAATGCATATGCTGGGCCGGAGCTTTAGCTCAGTGGTTCTGCTACCTGCCTCAAAAGAGCCAGGACCCGAGTTCGATCCCCAGTACCAAAAAAAGAAAAAAAAATGCATATGCCATGCTGAAGACATAGATTGGGGTAGAGCATGTGCTTAGCATGCTCAAGACCCTGGGTTTGATCTTCAGGACTGAAAAAAAAAAAGGTATATTCTCTTATGTACAAACAATTTCACATATAATTTCAGAAAATTCAGATGCACCCTGAAGCCCATATATAATTAACCTCAGTTTAAAATATAGCTATGCATGTGCTAAAATAAACATGTTAATAGAAAGAAAAAATGTTTAAATCTAGAAAGGAACATGCCAAAATAATAATACAGTATTGGGTATTTACTTTCTTTTTACCAGTTTTCATTACTTCCTTTAATGAGGTTGGATTATTTTATGTTGTTTTTTAAAATTTAAAGATACAAATATTCACACAACAGAACAGATTTGATTTGTAACCTAAATTGGAACTACATTCAAAAGTAAAAATTCCTATTTGATATTTGAAAAGACATAGCCAAGTTTGTTGATATGGTCAGGGTGAGATTCAAGATAAGATTCTAGGAGGAGGGGCTGGGGATTTAGCTCAGTGGTTTCGCTGCCTGCTACACAAGCGGAAGGAACCAAGTTTGATCCTCGGTACTGAGAGAAAAAAAAAAAGATTCTAGGAGGGCTCGGGGATTTTGCTCAGTAGCACTGTGCCGACATGGCAAATGCAAGGTCCTGAGTTTAATCCCTGACACTGGGGGAGAAAAAGATTCTATGAAGAAGGAAAAGCTCAACACTTACTTTTACTCAGCAGGAGAAAGATTCTGGAAGAGGGGCATCTGGGATGGAAGGATGCCCTAGGGATGGAAGGCTCTGGTAATCTGTATCCATGGAGAGAGTAATCATGTCAATGGAGCCTGATCTTCACATTATTAACCCCAGTTCCAAGACAGTCAGCTCTGGCATAGTCTGACTAGAAGGAGAAAGACACAGCACTCCATCCTGTCCAGGACTGGTCTCAGCTGGACTGAGTCAGAACCAGTCAGAAAGACAAGGGGAAGGTCAGGCTGGCTTTTGAGCACAAAGCAAATCAGAATGCACATTCATCATGGTGCTCACTTCCTGTGATAGTGCCAGAGAGATGGGGACCAGTCCAGTAAAAGGTCACTCTGTAAATCAGCTTCTAGAGTGAAGGACAGGCTGAAAAGTTTGAGTAAACCAATTTGTCCGGAGCTTTTTAACAAAGTTCTTTTCCCAATGACATTCAGGATATCTCACTGATCATTGTTCTTTTGTGTGTGTGTGTGTGGTACTGGGGATCGAACTTGGGACCTTGCACTTGTGAGGCAGGTGCCGGAACCACTGAGCTAAATCCCCAGCCCTGATCATTGTTCTTTATTGTAGTCCTCCTAGATAATAATAGAATGCATGGCAGTTCTCAATCTTCCCCAGTAAGTGTTCCCACTGGTAGAGGATAAGCTTTGATTCATGAAGATCTGAGGAAGTTGCTCAAAAACAACTCAGCTAAGCCATGAAATTTCTTTGCAGTTCTTGTATTCTTGTACATGGCTCTTAAAATCTTGTGAATTTGACCTTCTGGCCAATAGCAAATCTATTTGTCCATTCAAAATCATCATTCCTAAACTTTCTAACAAAATGAATGCTAAAAACATTTCTATTTGAGAAGTGCACTGTTAGACATTAATATTATTCTTTCTCCATTTTACAAATGAGGGCTATTTAGTGGAAGGGCTGAGTCTGAGTACACATCTCATCCCAAATTGATAGCATTCTTTTTATGATTACATGTGGCACATCAGAAGGCAAATGAATGGGGAAAGTAAAGAAGTTCTTGATGAAAAATTTCTAGTCAGAAAATGGGATAATGGATGAGGTATTTGTTGAAAGCTTTCAGGGGACTAAATAATATAGTAATCAGTCAAGTACATGACAGTTTCAAAACCCTCAGCACCTCAATTTCCCTTTATGCAAAATGGAGCCATGAATATCTACCTCACATAGCTATATTAGGGTTAAATGGGGGCCTGGCCTCCCAGGTCTTCCTTTGAAATCTGAGCAAAAGCTTCCCTGATCCCACAACTCTTGCATTCTCTCTGCTAATAAAACCAGCATCATGTGGTCAAGGTATGCCACCAGTTTGGGCAGTGGCCAGACCCCCTTAGACCATGGTTGCAATGACTTCTAAGTGCCTGGAAGGTGGACCACAATGAAATGAATCCCAGGGAACCTATTCCCTCGGCCCTTTGCAAATAGGGGTCACAGGGCTTTTTTCTCAAATAAAAAGCTGATCCTTTACTGGTCATTCAAGAGATGCAGATGAAAACAACACTGAGATTCCACCTCACCCCACAAAGAATGGCTGCTATCAAGAAATCAACCAATAACAAGTGCTGGCAGGGGTGTGGAGAGAAAGGAACCCTTCTCCATTGTTGGTGGGAATGTAGATTGGTGCAACCACTGTGGAAATCAGTATGGCGATACCTCAAAGAACTAGGACTACAGGTCCCATTTGACCCAGTTATTCCCCTACTGGGAATCTTCCCCAAAGAATTAAAAGAATCATACCACAGCAATATATGTGCACCTATGTTTATAGCGGCAAAATTTGTAGTAGCTAAAGCTTGGAAACAGCCCAAATGCCCATCGACTGGAAACTGAATAAAGAAGATGTGGGGTTTTTTAATAAAATGAAGTACTACTCAGCCATAAAGAATGAGAAACTAGAGACATTTATAGCTAAATGGATGCATATTGAGGCCATACTCTTAAGTGAAATAAATAGGACACACATGTGTAAATACTGAATAGTTTCTCTAGTGTGAGAAATTGAAAGTATAAATAAGGATGAAAATGATTAAAATGAATAATTGATAATTTGAAATAAGAAAAGGTCCAAGGGTTTGGGGATGGTGGAAGGGAAAGGGAAGAAGGGAAAGAAAAAAATTATGAGAAAAATAAAAAGGAATCAAACTCTGTGTAGATAGGGAAGGGTGGAGGGGGTGAAGGGTGCACAGGTAATGGGAGAAAAAATAAAAACTAAGATGCATCATGTTCTGGTACAAGCACCCAATGATAAATGTAAATGTATTTTATACCTAAAATGTACCAATAAATATACATATTTTAAAAAAATTTTTTTTTTAAAAAAAAGCTAATGCTTTTATACCCTTGAGCCTTCCATGGGTTGGGTCTTGCTGATTCCTGAGATGCCCTCAAGACATTTTTCTTCTTATTCCTGTTCCTTTTTAATTTGCAATAATCTCTTCATCACCTATAGCTCTTTTGGCCCAAACTTTACACATGTTCTTTGTAGGCCAAAACCTAAGTTTTTCAAATTTTTCTCCTCTGCTTTTTGTTTCCAATTCATACTATAACTCTTGCACTATAAAAGCAGCCAGCCACAGCCTGAATCTTAGGCTGCTTTGAAATTTCATCTGCCAAATCAATTAGTCCACCTCCCTTGATCCCAATCTTTCACAAAGTCTCAGGATATAGCCAAAATGTAGACAAATTTCCTGCATAACACACATAGCCTCTAGTCCAGCTGCCAATAGAGTTCTTGTTCCAAACTGAAACCTCCTGAACCTGGCTTTTACTCTCTGCATTCCTTTCAGCATTCTGGTCTTCTGAGCTTCAACCAGAATCACTCATCAGGCTCTGCTTACACCATTCTAGGGCTTTTTCTAGCCTACATACTCAATCCTTTCCAAACTCCTCCCATAAGCCAGTACCAAAGGCTTCTAAACCACATAGTCAGGTTTTGTCAAGGAATGACCCCACTTCTCCAGTACCAATTTTCTATATCAGGCAGGTATTCTGCTGCTGGAACCCAAGACCTGACACCCACAACTTAAAGGAGGAGAAGTTTCTGGGATTCGCCCTATGGTCAGCTGGCTCTGAAATACACATGACAAAAGGGTGTTATATAGCATAGATGCTTTATTTATCATGACTGGAAAGCAGATAGGGAGAACAGTGCCAGTGAAAATGGAGGATGGAGCAAGGGGCTAGACATAGACCTCCACTGTACGCTCAGAAGTATGCTCTGCTAATACCCCGGATGAATCCCAAAGCAAATTGTGTTGACACTCCACCCTAAATGCAATGCTGTCCTCCATTCATCATGCCTCAGACACCCCAAGCAAATCTACAGTAGTAGCAACAGAAGACTATAGATATCCAGAACTCTAAGAGTGAACATATTCTCTCCAATCAAAGTATCTAAAGCTAGTAACATAAACTTCTGGTGCTTTATTTCTATCTGTGTCCTCATGTTGTTTGGCCCCAGGCAGTGTTATGGTTATAACACATGTGTGGTTGAACAGAATAAATAACATCCAAATTCTCTGATCAGAGGACTGTAAAGGTAAGCTTTGGGGTATCAAAAGATTTTAGAGGAACCGTGGGAAGAAAAGTACTTGGGGAACCAGTCTCATGAAGCTGTTTAAAACTCCCAGATATAAATAGATCCGACCCTAAACAACACAGAAAGCATTTTAAGAACTGAACTAAGTGGGTAGGCCACAGTCCAGGCCTTGACTGCCCACCAGGGAACACAGATGCAGGACAGATCCAAATGGCATTATAAAGCTTTTAAAGATAGAACTGGGGCCCAAACATAACTGATTTGTCTGGCTGTTAATACAAAAATATATACATTCTTCAAAAGAGTTAAATGAGATCCAGAATCCTATAATATTCAAGCTATCCAGCATACAAGTCAAAATTACTGGGCCAGGGATTTAGCTCAGTGAAAGGATAATCAGCCAAAAAGAACTCAGAATTGATGGAATAAATATATATGGAGTTAAGAAGTACGAACAGGGCTTTCTTCTGTCCCAAAGCAGCCTGCCTAAATGACACTGTGCCTGAAAGGGAAGCATCATGACTCTCCCATCAGACACAGCATGCAATATCCAGTCCAACTTTTCTCAAAAAATTAAAAAGAAATCCCTGGAAACAGGGAAAGCTGCTCACTGAAGTAGCCAGGAGGTAGAAGTAGTCCAAATGTCCATCAACACATAGGGAAAGAAGATGTGTTATAGGCATACTCTGAAATACAGTAGTTCAGCCTTTAAAAAGAAGGAAACTCTGTCATATAGTGTGGCATGGAAAAACGTTGAAGACATCATGCTGAAGCAAATAAGCCAGGCACAAAATGACAAATACTGTACGATTCCACTTATGTAAGATCTCTAAAAAAAGGAATCATAGAAAAAGGAAGTCTAATGGTGGTTTCCAGAGGGTAAAGGATTTGGGAAGTTGTTCAATGAGTACAGAGTTTCAGTTTTGGAAGATGAAATATTCTGGAGATGTGTTACACACCACTGCATAGTTAACACTACCGAACTGTTCATGTAAAAAATGGTGAAGATGGTAAATCTTATATTGTGTGGTTTTTTATTACCACTTTTAAAAACACACACACATAAGTCAGAAAACAAATTTCCAGGCCCCTCCCCTGATCTGAAGGAGATTCTTGGCAATAAGCCTGGAATCTGCATTTTAACAAAAGCTCCTTCAGTGGCTTCAAAACACTCTCAAATTTGAGATGCCCTGCTCTGGAAATACTTCCAAATACCTGGGCATGGACCAGGGATTTAGCTCAGAGATTCCATCACCTGCCTTGCAAATGCAAGGTCCTGAGTTTGATCCCCGGTACCAAAAACAAAAAACAAAAAACCAAGTACCTGGATGAACCTCTGCCTGGAACATGCCATGCACAAGAATCTAGCTGAAGTTCACAGAGAACATTCGCTTTGAATTTGAAATGGAACATACACTCCTTTCAGTTGCAGACTCCTGGGTCTAGCCAAGCCAATTACTCAATAGCCTATGGGAGCTGAGACAGCCCACCCAGGTAAATTTTAAGACTTGCCGTAAAGGATTAAGACAGGGATGAGAGAACCAGAATTTAACTCTACTGTGAATGTACTGTTTTCTTTCCTTTCTCAGCTTTCAACTCACTAACTTA